GCCGCGCGCCGGGCGCCTCGCAGGTCCTTCGGATCTCGGCGCCTCCGCCTGCCCTCGCTTTCTGCTCCCACCTGCTGGGCTCCTTCCCCGGCGACCCCCCGGCCCCTCTCCTGAGGTGGTCTTCTCTGGCTGCCGCCCTGTCGCCTGGAGGTCGCACCGACCTCGGCACACGGCCGCCCCGCTGCGCTGCCCGCCCACAGCTCGCGCTGGGCCTGTCCCCCCCCCGCCTGGCTCGGCCGCCTGCTGGCTGCCGCCCCACTCGGCTGCCTGCGGCCGCCGCTTCCCCGCCGCTCCGGCGCTGCCCCTGCCGCGGCTTGGTTCCGTTCTGAGCGGGCCCGGTCTCCCGTCCGTCCCGCCCGCGCAGGGCTTCCTCTCCCCCCATCCTCGTGCATCGCGGCCTAATTCGCATCTGTATGTCCTACGCATGCTCTGTCCGCCAGCGCAGTCACCCTGCTTGGCCGCCGACGTAAAAAGTGCGTGCTGAAATGAAGGGCGGGAGCTCGTGCGAACGTGGCCGTTGGGGCCTTCGGTGGAGCTCCCTATGGGGCCACGAAGCGCGTGAGGGGTGTGCCGAAATGAGGCGCGGGAATCCATGCGAACGCTGCCACTGGGGCTTTCGGTGGAGCTCTTTGTTGGGCCACGAGCATGTGGGGAGTCTGCCGGGATGAGAGGCGGGAGCTCGTGCGAACGGTACAATTTGGGGCCTTCGACGGAGGTCCCTACGGGGCCACGAGAATTGCGAAACCATGCCGGAACGACAGGCGGGAACCGATGCGACCGCTGCCAAGGCCTTTGTTGGAGTTCCTTATGGGCCACGAAGCGTGTGAAGGATATGCCAAAATCACAGGCGGGAGCTTATGCGACCGATGCACTGGGGCCTTCGGTGGAGCTCACTAGTGGGGCAGCGAAGCGTGTGATGGGAGCGCTGAAATGAAAGAGGCGGGAGCTCGTGCGACCGCTGCCACTGATTACTGAGGACTCTTCACGTACTCGCTCGACGCGCTGCCCCGTGGGCTCTCCGATGTCATTGAGGAGCTGGCGCTGCCGTTTCTGAAGCCGCGCGAGTGTGTAGTCGTGCCGCTTTAGGCCGACGCGTCTCCAGCCACCATAGCCCACGCCAGAACTCCCATGGCCGCTTTCCGCCCGTCGTGGAATGTGTGTGTGGGGGTTCTCGTAGTCGGGGCGGCCAATTACTTCGGGACCTTCCTTGGGCCGCCCGCCCCCCACGCCTGTCAATGGCTCGCCCCTGGGCAGAAATGGTGGCAAAAGGGTAATCATCTCGTGCAGAGCGGCAGGGGCGCTACGGTGTGTTATATAACACCTCCACTGTGTCCACGTTCAGCTATGTTGCCCAACTTCCCCCACTCTGGAACAACACTGCCCTTCGCGATCTGTACACCTCTCATAGCATGTCATGTCAGGCATGCCGCATACCGCCGAACTCGTTCCGCAGTAGATCCCAGTGCCGCGGCGAAGTGGAGCCCGCCACCTGTCCTGCGCTCGGCGTGCGCTACAGCCGCGGCCGCCGGCTTGCGTTCTGCAGCCTTCATGCTTCAGGGTGACTGGGACCTCTTCCGCGACCGTTTGCGAGACACCCGTGGGAAGAGTGCGCGTTGCTTCATGTTCGCCAGTGGTCGCGGGCCACTGGCCGCCGCCGTCCTGGAGAGAGCAGCGCTCCATCGCACAGTGCTGCCGTCGTGCCTTGGCGGGCAGCCCTCGCCAGCACCCGTTCTCAGCAGCAGCTGCGGCCGCGGCAAACCCGCGCCGCTCGCCTGGAGTTCGCGAGGCCTCCCGCTGGCGGAGCCGCCTCGCCGACCCGGAGCACGGCGTGCCATCGCGCTGGCCATCCACAGTGCTGCCTGCAGCTCGCATCCCGCTGTCCCTCCACAGGACGGTCTGGGCGCGCGGGGCATCGGCCGGCGGACCCTCGCCCGACGAGCTCTCCGGCTGGCCCGTCCCAGCCCGGGAGCTCCCAGCTGTTCGCCCCAGCTTGCGCCAGGCAGCAGTCGAAGCCCTCAGCGGCTGCGGGACGACCACCGCCCGCAGGTGCTCGCCTTCAGTTGCGCGCAGGCTCCCGATTCGTTTCCCCGCTACCTCTCCTGCCCCGTCCACCTGGGCCTCCTCCTGGCCCCCTGCTTGGCCCCCCCATCCAATCCAGTCGCACGACGTGGGCCCTCGGTCCAGCTGCAGCGTATCCGCCTGGCCCCGCCAGCGACCTCTCGTTGCGGCGGACGGTCCAACGCGTGACGCTCGGTTTCCACATGTGCAACAAAATCAACTCCGCTGCCTCATCGACGGACGACGCGTTAGCGTGCGCCTCCAGTGCAGCCCGTGCCCTGCTTTGGCGCTCATCGTATCCTGTCTCGCTTGCAATCGGGCGCATTGGAGACACGCGTCGACCCCCAGGGTACTGTCACTCGGCGGCGAGCGAGGGAGGGAAGTGAGAAGAAGAAGGCCTTCTCAGAAGGCTCGGAGGAAGTCACCCAGCTTTCTGAGAAGTTTTCTAAGCCGTCCCCGAAGACCGAAAAACTGCTCAGAAGGCGCGAGGGCTTCTGAGAAGTCCCGCAGCCTTCTAAGGAGGCCCTCTCCTTCTCTTTTCGCCCCCTCGCTCGCCGCCAAGTCACTCCCTCTTATCCTCGTTGTCCTCCTCCTCGTCCGCCTCCTCCGCCTCAGCCTCCTCCTCGTCCTCCTCCTCCTCCCCCCTCCCCCCCCTTCTTCCTCCTCCTCCTCCTCCTCCTCCTCCTCCTCCTCCTCCTCCTCCTCCTCCTCCTCCTCTTCCCCCCTCCTCCCCCCTCATTCCTCCTCCCCCCCCCTCCCCGCGCAGCCGTTTCGGCCCCCCGGCCAGACAGGCCGGTCAGAGTGGCGCGGGGGGGCCCCGCGCCCCCTGGGGCGCGGGGGCTGCCAGTGGGCAGCCCGCTCTGGCAGGGCGCCCACGCCAAGGTGGTTCGCGCAGGCTCGTCCACCGTCGTCTCTCGCCCGTCGCCCCTCGCCCGTCGTCCGTCGGTCGTCGTCCGTCGTTCGTGGTTTGTCGACTCCCTTTTCGCCGTCGTCCTCCTCCGCGTCCTCCTCGTCGTCGTCGTCTACGGTGCTCTCAGTCGTCTTCGTCGTCTTCACCGTCTCAGTTGTCTCAGTCGTCGTCGTCGTCGTCTTGTGAAGGTCCTCCCCCCTTTCCTTCTCCCGCCCTTCTCCCTTCTCGCTCCTCCCCGCGCGCGGAGGCGGAGGGACGAGCAGGAGGGCCGAGGGTACACTAGCAAGGGCTGTGCGCATGGCGGGGGCGGCTCGTTGCGGCGGACGGTCCAACGCGTGACGCTCGGTTTCCACATGTGCAACAAAATCAACTCCGCTGCCTCATCGACGGACGACGCGTTAGCGTGCGCCTCCAGTGCAGCCCGTGCCCTGCTTTGGCGCTCATCGTATCCTGTCTCGCTTGCAATCGGGCGCATTGGAGACACGCGTCGACCCCCAGGGTACTGTCACTCGGCGGCGAGCGAGGGAGGGAAGTGAGAAGAAGAAGGCCTTCTCAGAAGGCTCGGAGGAAGTCACCCAGCTTTCTGAGAAGTTTTCTAAGCCGTCCCCGAAGACCGAAAAACTGCTCAGAAGGCGCGAGGGCTTCTGAGAAGTCCCGCAGCCTTCTAAGGAGGCCCTCTCCTTCTCTTTTCGCCCCCTCGCTCGCCGCCAAGTCACTCCCTCTTATCCTCGTTGTCCTCCTCCTCGTCCGCCTCCTCCGCCTCAGCCTCCTCCTCGTCCTCCTCCTCCTCCCCCCTCCCCCCCCTTCTTCCTCCTCCTCCTCCTCCTCCTCCTCCTCCTCCTCCTCCTCCTCCTCTTCCCCCCTCCTCCCCCCTCATTCCTCCTCCCCCCCCCTCCCCGCGCAGCCGTTTCGGCCCCCCGGCCAGACAGGCCGGTCAGAGTGGCGCGGGGGGGCCCCGCGCCCCCTGGGGCGCGGGGGCTGCCAGTGGGCAGCCCGCTCTGGCAGGGCGCCCACGCCAAGGTGGTTCGCGCAGGCTCGTCCACCGTCGTCTCTCGCCCGTCGCCCCTCGCCCGTCGTCCGTCGGTCGTCGTCCGTCGTTCGTGGTTTGTCGACTCCCTTTTCGCCGTCGTCCTCCTCCGCGTCCTCCTCGTCGTCGTCGTCTACGGTGCTCTCAGTCGTCTTCGTCGTCTTCACCGTCTCAGTTGTCTCAGTCGTCGTCGTCGTCGTCTTGTGAAGGTCCTCCCCCCTTTCCTTCTCCCGCCCTTCTCCCTTCTCGCTCCTCCCCGCGCGCGGAGGCGGAGGGACGAGCAGGAGGGCCGAGGGTACACTAGCAAGGGCTGTGCGCATGGCGGGGGCGGAATCCACGGCAGCAGTGGCAGCTCCGGGACCCCTCTGGCCTCCACCCCCCCTTTCCCGGACCTCCTCGTGCCGTGAGAAGTCACGACAGGGGGGGTGATATATATATATATATATATATATATATATATAAACATACATATATATATATATATGTATGTATAGATATATGTTTTATACATGTGTACACGTATGCCTAGATTTGTTCGTGCGTACATCTGCACATATCAGGGGCAGGGACCCGAGCGGTCATGCACTGTCCCTGGGCGCGTGGCTGAAGTGGGCTTCCGTGGCCTGGAGTCATGTTCCGTTCGCTGCTTTGTGGTGTGGGTTGTTCGTGGTTTTTGGCCTGTCCAGTGCTCATTGCTCAGCAACTGCTATTCTTGTAGGGGGCCGCATGCGAACCCTACCCCTGCCCCCCACCATTTCGGAGGGGGAGAGTGGGGTTCGCTTCGCTCGGGAGCTCCCGAATGAAGTGAACCCCACCCTCCCCCCAGAAATCGTGGGGGGCAGGGGTAGGGTTCGCATGTGGCCCCCTATCTTGGACCTTCTGCAGGCGCTTTGGCGCTCTCGCCTCGCTGCCGGGGTGGTTTCTTTGAGAGCGAGGCTCACGCCTGAGCTTTTCGGGGTACCGCCCAACCCAGCCCCCCAACAACAACATCGCCCCCGTGCAATATCTCTTCACGCTTTACTCCGAGAGGCCCGCGCCAGAGAGGGCCCGAGCCTCAGGAAGGGCGCTCTCGCCCGAGACTTACTTCCCCGCAGTTTAGCACCAGAAGGGGGTCCTTCAGAGCAGTCTTGCCGCTACTTGCGAATGCCGGAACGGCCGTTTCGCTTGAAACTTCCTCACAAGTTGGCACTACAAGGTGGTCTTTCCAATCAGGTTGCTGCCAGTCGCGAATGCAGGAACTGCCTCTTCGCTTGGGACCTCTTCGCATTTCAGCACCATAAGAGGGCTCCTTCAGAGCTGCTGCTCGCCGATGCTGGAACGTCCGTTTCGCTTGAGACGTCCTCGCAAGTCAGCAGCACAGGGGAATCCGTTAGACCAGTGTTGCCGTTACTCGCGGAGGCTGTTCGCCTGAACGTTTTCCGCATTTCAGCACCACAGAAGGTGGTCCCTAAGAACATTCCTGCTGCTACTCGCGGATGCTGGAGCGGCAGTTTCGCTCGAGACTCCCTTGTAAGTCAGCAGCACAGGGGAATCCGTCAGAGTAGTCTTGCCGATTCTTGCGGAGACCCGCAGGAGGTCCCAGGAGGCGGCCTCCGGAGACATTCTGCATCGGAGTATGTGTTCGGGGAGCGCTTTTCGGGCCCTCTGCTCCCAGGAGGCCCCAGGACACATTTTTGCCGGATTGGGATATGTGTTTGGGGAGCGTTTTTTGGCTCCCCCGCGTCAAGAAGGCGGCTCCTGGAACAAGTGTTCTGCACCGGGGCATGTGTTCGGGGAGCGTCTTTCGGCCCTCCCCAGGAGGCCCGAAGAGGCCCCAGGAGGCATTTTTCTGTATTGGGACATGTGTCCGGGGAAGACTTTTGGGCCCGGTTTCGCCCCCATAAGCTTCTCTTCGCCGCCCCTTTCTTGGGGCTCGAGTCCTTCTCTGTTTTACGTCTGTTCATGTATATTCTCGAATACTTGGGGTTTTACAGCTATTCTTCTATATTGCCACTGGACTGGGACTCGTTTTTTCCTGACCGTTCTGTGGTGTTGGGTCCTCGTATTGAAGAGGCAGCGCCCCGCATCTCACACCCTCCTCCACCCCTCCTTCTAATCCGCCTCCTCCTCCTGCTCCTCCTCCTGATCGATATCAGCTAAGCCTGTGCCGCCCATAGAGAGCCCCACCGAAGGCCTCAGCGGCTGGGTTCACATGGTGACTCGGGTCCGTTTCGGCAGACCCTTCACGCGCTTCGTGGACCCATAGGGAGCCCCACCGAAGGCCCCAGTGGCTGGGTTCACATGGTGACTCGGGTCCGTTTCGGCAGACCCTTCACGCGCATCGTGGACCCGCAGGGAGCCCCACCGAAGGCCCCAGCGGCTGGGTTCACATGGTGACTCGGGTCCATTTCGGCAGACCGTCCCCATAGGGAGCCCCACCGAAGGCCCCAGTGGCTGGGTCCACATGTCGGGTCCGTTTCTGCAGACCCTTCACGCGTTTCGTGGCCCCATAGGTATGGAGCCCCACCGAAGGCACCAGTGGCTGGGTTCACATGGTGACTCGGGTCCGTTTCGGCAGACCCTTCACGCGCATCGTGGCCCCATAGGGAGGGAGCCCCACCGAAGGCCCCAGTGGCTGGGTTCACATGGTGACTCGGGTCCGTTTCGGCAGACCCTTCACGCGTTTCGTGGCCCCAGCGAGGCCTCGAGATCCTCCGTGGGCGACAAGTTTTCCGGGGTTCTGCGGACCCCCAGCGGTTCCTTGTGCATTGGGTGGTCCTGTCGATGATTTCCATGCGTGTAGAATTGGTTGGGTTTTTCACCAGGGTCTTTTTTATGTGCCGTGCGAGCTGACAGTGGGAAACTGCCTCGGGAGAGGTGTTGGCTCGACCTCTTTGGGCGGGAGATCAGGGTGAACATATCGTCCCCTTTTGTGTAATCATGATGGATGCACGTGGCATGTAGAAGCATGGTGCATGAGGGTCGACAACGGCCGCCGAACTTTCACTTCTGAACACCAATGTGTTGGTACCCCCCTCGGTGCCCATTGTGCTTGTTGTGGGCGGTCATCGTGCAACGTTGATCGCGAGCACGAAACCCAGACATGCGACGTCCTGATTTTTTTCAGGACGGCGCCCCTGGAAATCTAGACCCTTTCCCTGGGGCCGGTTTTTCGTCCTGAGTCGTTTTTTGACGGTCCCGAGGCCCGGCGAGGGCCCCCAGGGGCCGAAAATAGTGAAAAACCTCCCTGATTTTTGTTACGACGCCATCATGTCTGGGAGCGGAAGGCCCGGCGCCCCCACCCCAGCCCCCATCATGGGCGAACGGGAAAGGGGGGCGCCGCGCGACGCGCAGCGGCGCGGGGTGGTGCGAGCCCGAGCGTGGGGCGCCAGGCGTCGCGCAGGCCGCCCTGCTTGCACCGGGCGAGCGCGCGAGCGGGCGCGTGCACCGCCCAGGGTTTGGGAGGGGCGCCGCGCATGCTCGGCTGGGTGGGTGTCCCGCCCCGCGCGGCGAGGGCACCTGCGGTGCGGCTCTTGCCGCGAGAGGCACAAGACTGCCCGCGTGTGGCACGCAACTGTTTTTTTTTTGTGTGTGTGTGTGTCTGGGTGGCAGGATCCTGCCCGCGCGTGGCACCCTCCTGCCCGTGGGTGGCACTGCCCGCTGGTGCTACAGTCTTGCCCGTTCGTGGCGCGCAATCGCCAGCGTGTGTGTGTGTGTGTGGCAATATTGCCCGCGTGTGGCCTTCTTCTGCCAGTAGGTCGCGCTGCACTGTCCGTAGGTGGCACCATACTGCCCGTGTGTGGCACCGACCCCGCGCGTGGCACAATCTTGCATGTGTGTGTGTGTGGCTTGATCATGCCTGTGTGTGGCACTGCCCGTCGGTGGCACAACGTAGCCCTTGTGTGGCGCTGCCCGTGTGTGGAACCATCTCGCCCGTGTTTGGCACTTTTCCGCCCGTGTGTGGCATTGTCCGTAGGTGGCGCAATTTTGCCCGTGTGGCATTGCCCGTGTGTTGCACGCCTCTGCCCGTGCGTGGCGCTGCCCGTAGGTGGCACAATATTGCCCGTGCGTGATACGCATCAAGCAGTAGGTGGCACTGCCCGCAAGTTGCCCGTGTGTGGCACGCATCTGCCCGTGCGTGGCACAATCGTGCCCGAGTGATTATTGCTCGCGCGTGGCGCGCATCTACCCGTACCTTGCAGGTGTTTGCACGGCCGACGCACTGAATTCGAAAGCGTGGTCCGCTTTTTGCCAGTTTGCCGCGGTCCGCGCGAAGTGCAGCGGGGTAACGGCAGAAGTTCAGGGCTTTGCGATCCCGTGGGGATAGTGGCCGTTGCAGGTCTTTCTGCGTGGATGGTTAAGGCCGAGTCCGAGGCCCCTCGCGGGGAAGAGTTAAAGCAGGATGATGTAGCTCATCGGGCCCGCCTGGTCGACGTGGGGCCTGGCTCGCTGAAGAGCTTCGACGCTGCCGGAAAGGTTGGTGGCCGACGCGCTCGCCGCGGACCCGCCGGCTTGGTTTGGCAGGCGGGATGCGTTCAAGCTTTGGCTGGCGCGGTCCGCGAGGAGAAGGGCATATGCCCGGGGCGACTCGTGCCAGCGTCTCCCGTTTCGAAGAAGCGTTGCGGTCCGCTCGTGGACCGACTGCCAGGCACGTTGCGATCGATGGGAGAGCTGCGGCGCGATTGCCGGGCCGCGCGGGCGCTGTCGGTGGCAGTTGTGGCAGGCGCTTTTCCGTGGCCTGCCGCCGTCCCAAAAAGGTTTACCAAGAGAACCCCAAGAGGGTCACAGGAGGTCCCCAAGAGGGCCCCGAGAGGGCACCACGGCGGCTCAAGCCCCCCAGGACGGCCCAAGAGGACCCCAGGACGGCCCTAGAGGGCCCCAAGACGGCCCAAAAGAGCTTCAAAGGGAGCCCCAGGAAGGCCCAGAAGTGCAATATTGATTGATTTTCGTAAACTTTGTTGGTCGATTGATGTATGTCGTACCAACGCCTTCACACCAGCAGGGCTCCAAGACACGAAGCCAGCGACCTCGCGGCTTTACAGAGCAAGCACGCTTTCCGTCCTCATGCCAAGCAGGTGACCGAAATAGCGAGGTACGAGCGAGCGAGCGACGTAGAGGGCCAAACCCTTTTACGGAGGGGGTCCGGGTGAGGGGGCAAGGCCGAAGATAATGGTCCAATGGCCGCCTCTTTTTTGTGTTTTCCAACCATCCTGTGGTGTTGGGTCCTCGTTCTGAAGAGACGGACCCCGCGTTTCCTCCCGCCTCCTTCCTCCCTCCTACTCCCCCTCCTTCTTCCTCCATGCGTTTCACACTGATCTCCACCGAAGGTTCCAGTGGGACCGCCCGCGTGCGTCAATCACCACCGCCCGCAGCCCATCCTCCCTGCGTTTCACCCACCCATTACAGCGCTTCGTGGCCCCACAGGGAGCTCCACCGAAGGTCCCCGTGGGACCGCCCGCATGCTGCATGCTGGCGCCGTCCGCATGCGTCAGCCACTACCCAGTATAGCGCTTCGTGGCCCCATGGGGAGCTCCTCCGACGGCACCACTGGCGCCACCCGCATGCGTCAGCCACCACCCAGTACAGCGATTCGTGGCCCCATGGGGAACTCCACCGATGGTCCCGGTGGGACTCCCCGCATTCGTCAGCCACCTCCCAGTGCAGCGTTTCGTGGCCCCGTAGGGAACTCCTTAGAAGAACCCCACTGGCAGCGCATGCGTCGTCCACCACCCGGTATTGAATTTCGCGGCCCCAATGATTGGGAGCTCCACGGACCAAGCCCCAGTGGCACCGCCCGCATGCGTCCTCCTCACCTCGTGCAGCTTTTCGTGGCCCCGTAGGGAGCTCCAGTGGCCCCGCCGCATGCGACCCCCCACCCAATACAGCGCTTCGTGGGCCCATGAGGCCCCCAAGATGGCTGAAAACACTTCTTGGGGCCTCTTGGGGCCTTCTGGGTGCCTTTTGGGGCGGAAGGTTAGGATTTTCGATTCGTGCTCCCCCTCTTTGGCCGTCTTGGGGCCCTCTTTGGCCGTCTTGGGGCCCTCTTTGGCCCTTCTGGGTGCCTTTTGGGGCGGAAGGTTAGGATTTTCGATTCGTGCTCCCCCTCTTTGGCCGTCTTGGGGCCCTCTTTGGCCGTCTTGGGGCCCTCTTTGGCCGTCTTGGGCGCCTCCTGGGCCATCTTGGGGCCCTCTTGTTTCGTCTTGGTGGCCTCCAGGTCCGTCGTAGGCCAGTGTTGTGGCCCATAACAAGACTCTCGGAGGGTTGTTTGGGCGTCCTGGGCTTTTTTCTTTGGCCGAGGAGGAGAAGGTGGAGGAAGAGGAGGAGGAGGAGGAGGAGGAATAGGATGAGGATGAGAGGTGATGAGGAGGAGGAGGAGTTGATGAGGAGAGTAGAGGTGGCGGAGGAGGGGAGAGGAAAAGTAGAAGTAGAGGAGGCATGAGGAGGAGGAGGAGGAAGAGGAGGAGGAGGGAAGGGGAGGATTTAGGATTGTAGGAGGGAGGAGGAGAAAGGATGTATAAACAAGTAATTATTATAGATGGACGGAGGAGGGGTAATATGGAGTTAGTAGGTAGGTATGATGAGTATTGGACTAGTAGGATATTAGGATGTAGGAGGTTGAAATAGGAGGGAGATATGGAGGAGAGAGGGAGGAGGAGGAGGAGGTGAGGAGGAAGGAGGCGGAATGATGATGTTAGAAGACCAGTGTAAAACCAAGAGTCGTCAACGATGTTGGAATTAACCCTCCCTCCAAGCTCCCTCTGCATAGGCCCCCACAACGGTTCATTCCCATTGAGGGAACTGCCTCGTTAGAAGAACCGTTTGAAGATCCTGAAGCATACCAACACATTGTGTTCGGGATTCCAAAGCCACGTATCAACCTGACTTCTGCGCCCTGACGGTCCAGAATCGTGCCAGAGCGCCGTTTTTGGGATTTCAGCATTGCGAATCAACATAATTGTTGCCCCCGCATAATCCTGAATCCTTCCAACACATCATTTCTGGCACGCTGGTCCTGGGAACCCGTGCAACTTCTGCAAGTTGTTTAACAGAATGTGCGTGGCGCTAAGACGAGAGCCACAATTTGAAAAGAAACCACCCGCAATCCGTGAAGCTCTTGCAATTTCTTAAAACGAATGTGCGCGGCGCTAAACCGAGAGTTTCATTTTGAAAACCATCCGCCCTCAATCCGTGGAGCTCTTGCATACGTTTAAAACGAATGTGCGCTTCGCTAAGGCGAGAGCCACATGTTGAACACGACCCTCCCTCAATCCCTGACGCTCTTACAAATGTTTAAAACGAATGTGCGCGGCGCTAAGGCGAGAGCCACATGTTGAAAACAACCAGCCCTCACTCCGTGAAGCTCTTGCACATGTTTCTACACAGAACGAGTGCGCGGCGTTAAGGCGAGAGCCACATTTTGAAAACGACCCGCCCTCACTCCGTGAAGCTGTTGCCACTTTTCAAACTCCAGAGTCATGAGCGGTGAGGCAGTCTCAGGCGAAACGCACGGGCCGCCCTAAAAAGTGGCTTCGGGGTGCGGCAGGGAGAAGTTATATATAAGGAGAATGGGCGGAGGAGGAGGAGGAAGGAGGAGGAGAAGTAAGAGGAGCAGGAGGAGGAGGAGGAGGAGGAGGAGGAAGGAGGGGAGGAGGAGGACGGAGGAGGTGGAGGAGGAGGATGAGGAGGACGAGGAGGATGGGGAGGGGAAGGAGGAGGAGGAGGATGAGGATGAGGAGGAGGAGGAGGAGACGAGAGGGCTGGAACCCAGGCGGCCCCCGGGAGAGCGCAGAGCTCGGGCGTCGGACAGATGATCTACTACGAGAGCGGTCGCATGAGCAGCATATTCCGTCTTGCCGGCAGCGTGCTTCCGATGGCATTGAAGATATCTTTCCCCAACAGTCTTCTGACCGGCGCGCTTGCGTTCTGCGTCTACGAGCTGAACGTACTGGGGACCGTGGACCTGGAGTCGACCCTCATGAAGAACAACGCCATATGGGGAGGCATCGACAGTTCTGTGTGGGAGGGGAGGTGGAGGATGTGGGGGGATGGATGGGGGAGGGGACAGGAGGGAACTTCCCTGACACCCCCCACAAGTCATTCCAGGTCCCTGGAGGCCCGAGATTCCTGGAGGCCCAGACAAGGGCAAGCACGCCCGACATCTTCCGCCCTCGATGCCCTCGGCCCTCCGGAGTGCCGGGAGGCTTCAGCTTCCTGCTGGGCTTCCTGGTGGTGTTCCGCACGTCGCAGGCGTACAGCCGCTTCTGGGAGGGGTGCACGTCCACCCACTACATGGGTGCCGAGTGGTTCGACGCCTGCGCCGCGCTGATCGCCTTCTGCAAGCACGCGGAGCCCGAGAAGGCAGGGGTGCCACAAGCACTGGCCACGGTGGCCAGGGACCGAGGATCGAGGATGTCCCGACGTCTTTGCTCGGAGGGGCACGAGGCCATGATCGTGATCCGTGTCAAGACTTCCAAGATCTCCAGGATCTCAAGCGTTGCCTACTGTGCCACACGGGCCGCAAACACGAGGACCGCTGGGCCCTCCGGACGCCATGACACGTGCTCCGAGCCAATCGAGTCGTTGCATCATGTTACTCTCCGCTCTTTCCAGGAGCGGAGCTGCACAGCCATGCTCTGCCGGACTCCGCGCGGGTGTCTAGCCGATTGGCCTCTCGCGTCTTCTGGGGGGCCCGCGAGAGCGCACGCGACACTCAGAGGGAGCGGCTGCCGACACCCGCGGGTCCCCTGCCCCCTCCCTCTCGCTCTCTCCCCTACTCGGGCCTCGCGAGGGTGCCTCGTTCTCTCGGGGGGGGGGGGGCGCAGGGAGCAGCGGTGCCGACATGCTTGTTGCGCCCCCATGAGGCGAGGGAGGTGCTGATGTTCCAGAACATCTTGGTGAGGCTTTTCAGCATGCTGCACTCGACGGCGCTCGGGGACATCGAGGACTGCAGCGACAGCATGGACAGGTCTGCCTACCAGGCCTTCAAGATGGAGCTGATTGATGCCGCGGGCATCGACGATGAGAGCCTCAGCACCATCAGAGAGTCTGACTGCAAGGTGGAGCTTATTTTCCAGTGGATTCAGCAGCTCGTCGTCGAGAATATCAAAATTGGTGTGATGTCCATACCACCGCCTATATTGACGCGTTCGTTCCAGGAGATGGCCAGTGGCATGGTGCACTTCCACAACGCGCTGAAGATCTCGACGATCCCTTTCCCGTACCCGTACGCGCAGACTTGCGATATTATGTTGTTGATGCATTGGATGATCGTGCCTTTTATCGTCATTCAGTGGGTGGACATATGGTGGCTTTCGTGCATGTTCGGCTTTGTGCAGGTGGTCACCCTGTGGTCCCTTAATTTGATAGCTCAGGAGCTTGAGCAACCTTTCGGGTCTGACCCGAACGACATCGACGCGATGCACATGCAGAAGATGATGAATTCCCACCTGCGCCTGCTGGTCAAGGAGTCCACGAAGAGGACCCCCAAACTGCGCCACGATGACCTCGAGACGCTGTTAGAGCGGATGGTAGAGCCTAACGAGATGACCCTCGCCTCTTTCTACGACGTCTGGGAGGACCTCGACCAGGCCCAGGGCATCGATGCTGCTGGTGAGAACCGCGAGACGATCGCCCGCCGGGGGACCGTCACCACAGCGCACTGGAAGCTCCAGAGGAGTAAGCTCAGCCAGCTGGACTCGGCCCGTTCCTCCCAGGCCAGCCAGCCGAGGAGCTGCGAGCATTGCTCCAAGCAAACCATCAGCGACGCTCTGGACAATCTTCCTTCCCCTTCTCCTTCTCCCCCTTCTCCTCCTCCTCCTCCTCCTCCTCCTCCTCGTTGAGAAGAGCCATCGACCATTGGGTCGATAGGCTGGTGGCTCGTGGAGGATGAACCCCCCCTGTACGCTCGTCTCCTCCTCCTCCTCCTCCTCCCTTTTCCTCCTCCTCCTCCTCCTCCTCCTCCTCCTCCTCCTCCTCCTCCCCCTTCTCCTTCCCCCTCCTCCTCCTCCTCCTCCTCCTCCTCCTCCTCCTCCTCCTCCTCCTCCCCCTTCTCCTTCCCCTTCTCCTCCACGGCCAGTCGACCCTCCTCCTCCCCCTTCTCCTCTGGTGCACTCATTCAGTTCACTCTTGTGACGTGTGGTGGAGATCTCCGTGGATTGCTGCGGGCATGCATTTTGTTGATCGTCGCGCTGCCTACCTCCATTGTGCGATGATTTCATGTGCAGCGATCCTCCCTCGCCCTCGCCCCACGGGGTGATGATCTCCTCCCCCTCCCTCCCGTGGAGACTCAGGAGGGGGAAACACACAGACACAAGTAATCGCTGACTCCCATGAAAATCTGGGAAAAGTTGGGGGGGGGGGGGGCAAGACGAAGACCCAGAACATCTAGGAAAATACGGGGAATCCTGGGATTTGTGTCTATTTTTTTTGCGCGTTCCTGGGCCACTTGCGATAAACCCAAAACATGAACAAAAACAGCGCCAGCCGTCAGAGGAGCAGCGCGCACTCCCTCTTGAGCAAGGCTGCAGGCACTCCGACCAGGCCCCGCGTCGCCTCGCCCCGCACGTGGGACGCGCTGGCCCTCCCCGCGGAGACGCCGCCGGAGCCGGGGAGAGTGCGAAGAGAGTCGGGAGCCTTGAAAGACGCGGCCAAGGCCATCGGGGGGTCAGCCAGAGCTCCCGAGCTTGCAGGATCCTGCAGGGCCGGGGGTGCATTGACCCGCGCTCGGGTGCAGGATCCTGCAGGATCCTGCAGGGTCCTGCATTGACCCGGGTTGGGGCGCAGGAGCTTCCAGGATTCTGCAGGGCCTGACTGACCCTGGGCTGGATTGACCGATCAGGAGATTCCCGACACATGAACGACATGAACGTACGGCAGGTTCGCGTCGGGTCACCGCGCCGGCGAACCCGACGCGGGCGTTTAAGGTTCAAATGCCGCCAGAGTCCCAGAATCGGCGATCGCAAAGCTGCCGACCGATCGAGGTTGAACGATCTACGCGGTGTCAGAGACCACCGCTGGGGTCGTGACGATACGGACCCGCCGTAAGCACCATGCGCCTTCAGACGGGTGCTCCAGCCAATGCCAGGCCCTATCCACTCCGATGATACGAGCGCGCCAGGAGTGCATGCAGTGGATGCGGGACGAACAACTGTCGGGCCATCCTTGGGGCCGCGCAGTGGGCAGGAACACATCGCTGGATGTTTGGGAGTCTGGCTGCAACGACGGGGCCCAGGCACCCGAAGTCGCGACTTCGTCCCAGCGTGGACCCCAGAGGCCCTGGACCCCTTCTCTGGGACCGGCTCAGCCCCGTGACCCGCTGAAGGACCCTCAGTGGCCGAACGTTGCCTGCCAAACCGCCTCCCGTCGCTCAGGACGCGAGGATGTCGGGGGGGTCTCCCAGGGAAGCCCAAGATCGATCATCCTCAGGACGTACGTTCGCATCATCTTCATCATCTTCTCCTTTTCGTCGTCCTTCCCCCTCCCTCCTGTGCCGGCACGCGTTTGGCGTGTCTCGTGTTCTCCTTGGCGCACGTTTGGCGCGTCAGCTCTCCTGCGCTCTTGCACGCATTTGGCGTGGCTGCCCACGCGACCAGACGGACGCAAGGCTTAGTGGTGGTGGTGGAGCTCCGACGGCAGCGCGCAGCCTGTGCTGGCCCTCACTTGCACCGCCTGCGTCGTGCCGAAGGGCTTCGGTGCAGTTTTCCTTCGTCGAGGACCATCGAGGAGCATCCTTGATCAATTGGCGAAAAAACCACGCACGAAACCGAAAAAAACACAGGGAATGGACGTCCGAGCGATGGCAGGCTGATGTTTCCAGTATTGACTCCCTGGAATTTCAGACTCTTTTTCCCAGGGCCGGTTTTGCACCCAGAGCGACTCTGACGGTCCAAGGGCCCGGCGAGTCCGCAGGGGCCGAAAATGAAAACGGCCACACACCTCACGTCGTGATTTTCCTCGACGCGAGCATGTCCGGGAACACACGTTCGGAGGATTATAAGCAAGAGGGCGAAGCTAATGGAGGGCTGCGGTGGGATCGTTCGTTCAGGATTGTTGCCAGGAGGCTTCAGACCCTGGAGGATTCCTTCACTGACGAGGGCACTGGCGATATCCATAGCCACTCCACAGGAGAAGAAGCAGGAGGAGGCTGAGGAGGAGGGAGGAGGAGGAGGAGGAGGGAAGGAGGAGAGGAGGAGGAGGAGGAGGAGGAGGAGGAAGAGAAGGAGGAGGATGAGGCGGAGGAGGAGGAGGAGGACCATTTGAAACCCAAGAGTTATCAACGATGCTGGAATAAACCCGCCCTCCAAACTCTCTCATTATATGCCCCTACAACGGTTCATTTTCCATTGATAGAATTGCCTTGTTGGAAGACAGCCGTTTGATGACCCTGAAGCATGTCAAAATATTGTTCTCGGGATTCGAACGCCACGGATCAATCTGACTATTGCGTGTTGACGATCCTGAACCGTGCTAGAACGCCATTCCTGGGACTTCAACGCAACGAATCAACGTAACTGTTGCGCCCGCGAAATCCAGAATCCTTTCCATCACACCGTTTCTGGTACTTTGATGGTGGGAACCAGTGAAAGTCTTGCAAAGTGTGTAAACGAATGTGCGCGGTGCTAAGGTTAGAGCCATAGTTTGAAAAGGAACCGGCCTCGATCCGTGAAACTCTTGCAATTGTTAAAACGAACGTGCGCCGCGCTGAGGCGATATCCACAGTTGAAAACGATCTGCCCTCCATCCGTGAAGCTTTTGCAAATGTTGTAAACGAATGTGCGCGGCGCTAAGGCGAGAACCACAGTTTGAAAAGGAACCGCCCTCGATCCGTGAAACTATTGCAACGTGTTTCAACGCATGTACGCGGCGCTAAGGCGAGAGCCACAATTTGAAAACGACCCGCCCTCCATTCGTGGAACTGCTGTCCATCTTGAAGCTTCAGAGTCATAAGTGGTGAGGAAGTCTCAAGCGAAACGCCCGGCCCGGCCGAAAAACAGGCCTTGGGGTGCGACAGGGATAAGGAAAAGGACGGGAGGAGGAGGAAGACCAGGAGGAGGAGGAAGAGGACCAGGAGGAGGAGGAGGAGGAGGAGGAGGAGGAGGAGGACGAGGAGGAGCGGAGGAGGAGGAGGACGAGGAGGAGAAAGAGGAGGAGGAGGAGGAGGAGGAAGAGAAAGAGGACGAAGAAGGGAGGAAGGGAGGAAGGAAGGGAGGAAGGGAGGAAGGCAAGAAGGCAGAAAGGGAAGGCGGGAGGAAGAGAGGAAGGGAGCAAGGGTGGACGGGAGGAAGGGAGGGAGGCAGGGATGGAGGGAGGACGGGCAGGCGGGCCGGTGGGCGGGAGGGAACGAGGGGAGGGGAGGGGAGGGGAGGGCGCGAGGGGGGAGGGGGGGGAGGGGAGGGGAGGGGAGGGGAGGGGAGGGAGGGCGGGAGGGAGGAGGTAGGTGTAGGAGGAGAGATGTGGAGGTAGTAGGGAGGAGGGAGGAGGAAGGATGGCGGAGGGGTGGGTGGAGGGAGGGAAGGGAAGGAGGAAAGGGAGGGAGGGAGGGGAAGGAGGGAAGGAGGGAAGGAGGAGGAGGAGGAGGAGGAGGGGGAGGAGGAGAAGGAGGAGGAGGCTGAGAGGAGGAGGAGGAGGGAGGAGCAGGAGAGGAGAGCAGGAGGAGGAGGAGGAGGAGGAGACAGTTGGGCACGTTGTGCAGGGCGCACGGCGTCGGGGGCCTGGAGTCCCCGTCAGGAGCCCCGCCCCGAGGCGGACGCGAGCCCCACCGGCACGGCGGGCCCGCGGCTTGGCGCGGAGCCCCACGCCGCGCCGGCCGCCCTGGTGCAGGCCTCCCCTTTTCCCCTCCCCCTCCTCCTCCTCCTCGTCCTCCTCCTCCTCCCTCCTCCTTCCTCCTTACTCTTTCCTCTTCCCTCCCTCCTCTTCTTCCTCCCCTCCTTTCTCTTCCACCTCCTCCTCCTCCTCCTCCTCCTTCTCCTCCTCCTCCTCCTCCTCCTCCAGCTGCGTCCAGGCGTCAAGGTATGTGCTGCGCAGCTAAGTCCGATACCGAACCTCAGGAACGTCGATGTTCGAAATGGTCCTTGAATTGTGCTTTGGTCCCCACCTGGAGCGCCGGTTGCTCTAGGGCCGACCGGGGACCAGCCAGATGGTTCGTATCTGCTTGTGCAATCCCCAGACATTGGTGCAGTCAGGAAGGTTCGATGATGTGGCGAGAAGCTTCGGATCTTGTATGCTCGTCGGTTTTGTCGGTACGTGGATGCGGACGGACATGGTGGTGGAAAAACGACGGACGGCCAAGTTCTGGGAGCTGCGATGGGGAAGGGGGGATCACTCTGGTCTCTCGTTGCTCATTCATCGTGCTCATTTCAGTGATCGCTGTATTCGTCACGTTTGGTGTGGGGAGGGTGCTCTTCGTGGGAGGGTCGGAGCACTTCGTCTATACGCCAACGCAAGACTTGCGTGTCATCGTGGGTTACAACTTCCAGCTGACAAAAACGGAGACGGAGAAACAACGAAACCGGGGGTTTTACAGTTGGATTGACGAGGATATCGCGTCGTTTCCTCATCGTTGTATCCCTGTTTTGCTTTTGGACTCGAATGGGCACGTGGGCGTGGATAAGGAGCGAGGGGGGTGTGCCGCCGACGATCTGCATCGTACGGTAGATTTCAGCTCCAGGAGTTCAATTTTAACGGAGCCTTGCTATACTACTTGTCCTTTGTCAACACGTTTGAGCCGTGTGGGCCTCCTATCCGAACAACGGCGGAGCTGCAACCACAGTGGACTACATTGCGATCCCTCGGAGCGTCCAGTGCAATTCGGCACGTATCTGGCACCGGGCGGGGGATACATTGCAATGTTCTCTTAGTCGTTCGCTCCGGGATCATTGACCATTGGTTGCTGATGTGGTCCTGGCATCCGGGTATACGGCGCAATCTGTGCCGCGCCGGTGGGACCACGACAAAATCAACTCATGTATTTTCACTGGGGCTGGGAGGGGGTTTTCATTTCAAAAGTCGAATCCAAAATGCGAGAATTGGATGATCGGATTCAGGAGGCTGTGACGTTACCCTACCCCGACGTTTTGCAACGGACGGTATGGGATGTGGTGTCAACATGCGCTCGGGAGGTTTTGGGAAGGGGGTGGACCACGACGGGACGATACTCATGAAGGGGGCCTGGGGGAGGAGCCGCAGCAGCGGGACAGACGCCACAAGTTGCAGGAGAGGTGGGAGGCACGGGCAGCGTTGCGACAAGCTGCGGAGGAGCAGGAGGCAGGAACAGTCGAACGAGTACGTACCGCTACGCGGGAACTCCACCGACTCAAGAGATTAGGCTAGAAACGACGGACGGAGTTTTTTGGTGGACGAGCTGCACGACGCTTGGAGCCGGAGAAATTTGCATCGTGCCTGGCAGGTGTCGCGACAACTCGGTGACAAAGGAGTGGGTCCTAAGCGTCGTACGTTTTGCGCCTTATCCTCACCATCCTTCTGTCCCTCTGAGCTCCTCGCACACAGAAGGCGCAATCAGGTGCTCAAGGGGGGGGTCCCGATCACGAGGTTGATTGCGACCGCTTGGTGCAATCCAGGGAGGGGGAAGCCGGCGCTACGCAGGCTGCTGGCGTGGCTCAGGCATCGGACGAGGATATGGCTCGAGCAGGCCAGTCGTTCCGACAGACGAAGAGACAATTCCAACGGGTTGCTTCACGGAAAACACCACCAGGATGGGGGTTTCCAGTTGGGATTTGGAAGTTGTTGCTGTGTCGTGAACCTCTTCGGGATCGTTCTAGGCCTTTCACTGGGACTGCACATCGTTTACAACATGTTATACAACAGCTACACGTTCATATGCAAACATCGTCTGAAAGTCCTCTACTGTGGCACAAACTTGCACTGTTTTCATCCACCGAAGCCTGATCGTAAAAAAAGGGTTGGGCGGACAGCGAGCGGTTCACATAGCAGACTCCTGTTCTAAAGCGTTCTACAGGGTTTTGTGGGACAGAAGGAATCACACACTTTTTACAGGGACTATGCTTGTGGATATGTGCGGCACCGTGCACGGGAGCAGGCTGTCGCCACGATTGCGATCACTCGCGACGGGCTGGCGGCTAACCGACGGTCTCATGCAACGGATTGTTTTGGATTTGTCGAACACTTTTGCATGCCCGCGGCACGCAGAAGACTTGGAACCGTACGCATCTCGTGTGTTTAGCAATCCTGTTGATCGCAAGCACGTGTGTCAACGTATGGAGCACGCGTGCACCGTCATTGACGACTCCACCGGGTGGGCTCGAGTGTACAAGGTGGGCACCGGAGATTCGATCGTTGGTCCATGGTTCCTGGCGTCTTACCACGAGTGTTTGGAGGAAATCACCGCCGCACACCCCGACATGCACGTGTGTTCGCGCGTGTTTTCAACACGGAGTGTGCTGCACAATCTTGGGAAATCTGAATCATTGGTTAAGTTTTGTGGTGCCAGGGCGGAGGGGTACACTGGATCGGCCTACACGGAACCATCTACGTTGCCAGGGACAGTCTTGCATGTTGCACGGTACTTGGGTCCCCATCTGTCTGCAGGGCCTTCAGTGGCATTCGGAAAAGGCAAGCGATTCGAGGCGATCCGACGGGGCTATGGGGCACCTGTTAAATGCTGGGCACGGTCACCGCGCCGACGGTGGAGCAGAACGGTTGTTCAATGCATGGTGCCTGGTGCCAGGCTCAGCGGTCTGGAGGCCTTTGTTCTTTCCAGTGCCGACGCCCGTCTTCATGCGACATAATCCTACAAGACGACGGTTCTACAAAATACAGGGCGTGGACTAACGACAGGGTGCCACGGGATTTGGGGATCTTACCTGTGGAGGTGTCTCTCCGGCAGAGACGTCTCAAGATGTGGCAACGTGTTGCCCAGCATTCTGGGGAATACAAGTGCTTGGTTGTTGTATAGTTGGGGAACTTGCCCGGGGACACCAAACGTGCGCTCGATGGCCATGGCAAGATGCATGCTACAGCGCACAGGTGGGCATTACAGTTGGCCCAGGATATCCGGGCCCTCGCATTCGCTTCGGGAAGCAATCGCCTTTCGGAGTGTGCCGACCGACCTTTGCGCCTATTCCAATCGCCCGTGTGTCGTGCAGAGTTTTGACAACAGGATGTGGGAATATTGCCATCAGGGGTTGTTTATTTTGCAGGGGGAGACCTCCTTCTTCCTCCACTCCATCCCCACCCTTGCAGCAACAACGCCTCGTTCAGGAGCAGGAGTGCCGGCCGGGGGATCAGCGGGCGGATGGCGGGCCGGCATTGGGGGAGGACGGAGAGGTGGAGTGGGAATGTCGACTCAAGTGCGACGATGGTGCCATGTGTGGTTGTCGCTTTCGGAGTAAGCTGGCAATGCGGATGCATCAGACACACTTTCTGCTGGGAGGAGAACGCGGTTTCGCCACACTTGCTGCGTCGCTGGCCCGTGTTAATCAATGCTGTGCGTGCCGGGCCATGCGTTCGTCTCTCAACATCACGAGACACCATCTGCGAAGGAGTCTGCAACGAGGCTTTTGCGATGCCCAGTGGGGCAGGAGGAGTGCAAGTTGTCATGAGATCATGTTTCCCCCACCTTACTCTTGCCGAATCTGCGACATTGTGTTCGAGAGTGCCATTCCGCTGCTGTGGCATTAGCAATCGCACTTACCTGGGACATTACATATCGATCTGGGGGAGTTCCCAGACGAGTAGCATGGCAGACGCGGCATGGACGGCATTCTCGAGCGGAGGTGTTGCTAAACCCCCGCGAAAAAAACGGGGCGCAAGGGGCTCCACCGACTCGGACAAGAGCCGGGAACTACTGTCCATCCCGATGAAGCTGTGCCTCCAAACGAAGCAGGAAGTCCGCGTGCTAATGGCAGTCGTGTTCATCTGCTGCAGGGTTGCGACGGACAGCGCTGCAACGCAGGGGGTCAAGAAGGCGTACAAGATCCACGCCGACCGGATGAACGGCAAGAGTGGGCACGACGAGGGCGGCCCTGACCCATGGGCGTTCATAGCGCTGCTGATCGAGGCGACCACGTCGAAGCATCTTGAAGCGGGAGACATTGACAAGATCAAGACTTTCCTCGCGGCCCGACCCGCTCCCCCCTGATCCCTGAGGCGGGCCTGCGAGCGAAGAGCTCCAAGCAACCGTCCCGCGTTGCAAGCTGCAGAAGATGCACAGTTTCAACCAGATGAAGCTTTTGATTCGTGTGCGCCCGAAATACGTCGATCTAGAGAACATCGTGATTAAGCACTTCCAGGGTATGAAATGCAAACAGTACTTCGGCCAGGCCCCCCGGAGAGCCTTGGAAAGGAAGGCCCAGGATTTCTTCGCGGAGCTCGACCTCGATTTGGACGAGGAGTAGGCGCGAGGTGCGCCCAGTGCCTCGGTCGAGCTCGCCGCTCCCTTTGGCGTGCTTGGCCGGGAACGCTTGGGCGAGGCCGCCCCCCTAGGCCCAGGGCCAAAGCCTTCGGAAGATCGGGCAACGACTCGGTCGCTTTGCCTGATTCTGGGTTGCACGGAGTCCATGCGCAGTTCCGCCGCCGCCGCCGCCCCGCCGCCTCCTCCTCCTCCTCCGCCGCCTCCTCCTCCTCCTCCTCCTCCTCCTCCTCCTCCTCCTCCTCCTCCCTCCTCCTCCTCCTCATCCTCCTCATCTCCTTCTCCTCCTCCTTCTCCTCCTCCTCCTCCTCCTTCTCCAACTCCTCCTCCTCCTCCTCCTCCTCCTCCTCCTCCTCCTCCCCCTCCTCCTCCTCCCCCTCCTCCTCCTCCTCCTCCTCCTCCTCTTCGTCCTCCTTCTTCAAGCCCCTCTCGA